AGAAAGGTTGGGAAATGCAAGTAATGCAGAAGAACTGAGGCAAAAGAGTGAGCAAGACAGCAACTGGAAGCTTTCTGCTGACTGAAACCAGGAGAGCAAATTCCATCTCCTGCTCCTCAGGCTCTCCAATCCCTGTGCCAACCATCAACGCCTTGCAGAGCTCCAGAACACACCAATACTGCTCCAGTGGTGGTGCTTGTGCTCACACACCATTGCTGTGGAGCTCTGCTCCCTCCCTGATCCAGTTGCCTCTTGTCACCCACTGTGGAACAATGGGGCGCTAGGGGCTGGTGGTTCCACTGCTCACACTCAGGCCACCTGCACTGCAACAGATACCACTGCAGTGTGACAAATGGCACTGTGACCCTGAAGCAGAGTGTCCAGCAGTGAGCACTCCCTCCCTCCTTACCCAGCTTTGGGAAACTTGCATTTCTTTACCTTGTTGCAAGATTCACCTTTCTTTTTCATTTGTTCCCCTCCATCTTCCCACATCCACTTCTAGAAAGGATTAAAACCAAGCCATGACTGAAGTGTCTCCTACAATGCTCCCTGCACCCCCAGAGCCCAGGAACAGGAGACCAGCTCCTTCCCCACTGGATACATGAACCCAAACCCCACATGGTCACTATGTGTGCCAGCACTATGGTCTTCAACACTGCTCAGCACACCTACCTTTTCCACAAGTGATAATCACATTGGGAAAAGGGAAGGGATGCCAAAGGCTCATGCTGTTTTCCCTTTTAGCCACCTTGCTTCAGCATCACGCAATCAGTGCTCTCTCCAGCAGATGCAAGAGAAGAACCCTCCCAAGATATTTTGGCATCTGTATCATCAGGGCCACAAGGATGATCAGGGGTCTGGAGCATCTCTCTTATGAGGAGAGATTGCGGGAGCTGGGCCTGCCTTGGCAGGGCGTTGGACTGGATGATCTCCAGAGGTCCCTTCCAATCCTAATGGTTCTGTGATAATGCCAAGTGACTTTCAGGGTGATGGGGGCTGCTGTCACCTCTACTCTGGGAATCAAGTCCCATCCACACTAGATATCCGTCCTTTTACTATCCAATAGGAGAACAGAACAGGATCTCAAGTGTTCATCATCCCAATAGGGATGATGTCCACACCAGTCCAAGTCTCCCTACTTGAATGTCAACATGCCATTTGTGCAGCAAACCCTGCGAGCTCTAACAGAGAACTGAGAAAGCTGCTTTGCTGACCTGGGGACACTTCTCTTTAACATAGTCATCTTCAGATTCAGACACTTGCTGAAATTCCAGTATTCCCATGTTGATGTAAAACCTCCCATACTTTGTATCAAGAGAAGCTGGAAGAAACTCATTGTACTGGAAATGAGAGAGAGCACTCTGTTGGTGCTGTTGAGCTTTGTTATTTCATTCTGAGGCTGAGCTGCTTGGAGAACAGAGTGGGATTTGTGCTCCCCAAGAACAGACAGGCTGTGCACACACCTCGTAACCAGTGTTCGCGTCCTGGGAGCTTCCCCCAGCAGCTCCTGTTCCCATGGGATATCCTGTTCCCAGCCCTGGCACACTCCTGGCTCACACCCCACACAGGTTCCCCCCAGATGCCAGTTCAGACCCAGCAGCACCTTTAACCACTCTCCCAATGCTCCCAGCCTCACTGCTTCAGAGTTATTAATGAAGGAGTCAGATTCATCATATCTGTACCCCATGTCAATCAAGTCCTGAAACCAGTCCTTCCTGCATCTCTTGCCACCCTAAACAAGAACAGATTGACAGTGTTCAGCCCGTTTTCCAGTTCCCATGGGAGAGCCCCGGCACAGGACACTGACACTGGCTCCAGCACAGGAAAAGGAACATTATCTTTTGTGCTCTCATAAATAGCAGAACCAGACCAGCATTAACTGGCTGAGGTCTGAACAGCACTGCCCATTCTCAGGAGTAACATAAGATAAAGAACAAAAACATATGTATTTTTCCACAAACTTCCTCACCAGATCCTCCATGTCTTGTCTTTCCTTTGCTATTAAAGGGATCAGGCAGGTCTTTCTTTTGTAGAAATGAGAGACAAAAGCATGAGAATCAATCCCGTCATGCTGCCACCACAACCCTATGCATTAAACCCATCACAACCAGAGCATCCAGGTGGAACCTCCGACACATCAACCTTCAGTACAGTGTTCTGGGAGTCTCTAGGTTATGGGTGCTCTCTCAGACTATTCTATACTTGTCTCTCCTTCTCCTGACTCTCAACAGATAATACAAAAGCAAGCAGCAAGAACCATCAATCGACTGCTAAACAGTTCTTAAGAGTAACAGCAGAAATGAGCAGAGTAGTCAACTTTTCCTTCCAGGGAAGAACATCCATAGTACAGTTAAGGTGGCTACAGATGTTTGCATGTTGTCTTATCCTGAGAAATGCCTTTCAACAGGCAAACAGCCTTGTCAGGCGGCTCGTCACAGCACCACATTGGCCAGCTGGGAGGAGATGCCAAGCACTAAGGTGGAAATATCCACATGCAGCAGAGCAGGGTCCCCAAAAAGACAGAGCCACGTCCTGGGGAAGCATCCCTCCTGTGGATGCTCTCGTGGTTTAAGCCCAGTTGGCAGCTAAGTACCAGGCAGCCACTTGGTCCCTGCCTGCCTCTCCTGATGGGATGGGGAGGAGAATTGGGGAAAATAAGGAAATAGGTTGAGATAAGAACAACTAATAATTGATATAAAATATGATATTAACGTTTAAATATTTGTAATGGAAAGGGACACAACAAAAAGAGCGGAAGAAAACCTCAGTGATGCATCTCCTGGCTTCCAAATGCACTCCAGCAGCAAAGAGCCCACTCACCTTGTCTCCCGAAGGATCGACTTCTCTTCCCTGTTGACAGCTCTCCACCAGATCCGGGTAGTAGAACTCGGGATACCTCTGGTCATCGGACTGGAAGAGCGGCACACTGATGCGCACGGTTGCCTCGGCGGGGCGGGAGCTCTGCGGCTGGTCCCCGCCCTCGGTCCCGCTCGGCCTGAAGCTGCTACTCGGTGCGGTGGGCAGGGTGGTGAACGCGATCCTGCGGCGCTTGGGCATGGCCGCAGCGGGACAGTGTCACCGGCCGGCTGCGGATAACGGAGCACGTCGGAGTGGGAAAAGTCTGGTAAAGCTGAAGTTCTCTCGAGAAGTGCCGGGCGCTACGCTCGCTGCAAGTGGTAAAGACAGAGTCAGCGCTGGCCCTGGCGCTCCCGCCGTGCTGCCCGCTCCGGGGCTCCGGCTACGCCTCGCGCTGCTCCGTTACCAACGGCTGCGGGAGGAACCGCCGGACCCCGCCGGCGACACGGCCCCGGGCCCCGCTCTGGCCGCAACTCTCCCGGACACCCCCGGCCCTGCACGGCGCATCCCTACTGCTCCCCCGGCCCGAAAGGGAAGGGGAAAAAGGAAAGGAAAGGAGAGGGGAGGGGAAAGGAGAGGGGAAAGGAGAGGGGAGAGGAGAGGGGAGAGGAGAGGGGAGAGGAGAGGGGAGAGGAGAGGGGAGAGGAGAGGGGAGAGGAGAGGGGAGAGGGGAGAGGGGAAAGGAGAGGGGAAAGGAGAGGAGCCGGTACCGAGGGGACCGAGGGTACCGCTGCCGCTCACGCCCTCACCGCCACCAACCGCCGCCGGGGGGCGCTGCGCTCGCGCTGAAGCCGATCGTTGCCGGCCACGCCCAACGTGGCGAGCGTGGGCCAATCCACGGGCAGGAGCCTCCCTCACACCTGAGGCAGCCTCGTGCAGCGCCGGGCAAGGTGGCGGCTGCGGCTGGTGCCGGGACAGAGAGGCCGCGGCGGGACCCGGGCCGGTGCGAGAACAACGGCGGGGCGGGCTAGGGAGCGCCAGGAGCTGCCGCCTGCAGGAGGCCTGGGGGCAGCAGAGCTCTGGCTGTGGCCGATGGGCAGCTGTGGGAAGCCCTCAGTTCCCTCAGTGCGGGCTCCTGAGTCAATGCCGGCACCACCGTCCTCAGCACCACCACCTTCGGGGCCAGCCCGGAGCAGGGTTTGGGTTGAGCTCACTCTGCCCTCAGAGAACTCTGCTCATTCAGCAGATACAGAGCTGGAGATAGAGACAGAGATGGGCTTGTAGGGCACAGGCAGAACATGCCCCCCCTCACGCAGGCGAGCCTGCCCCTGTTCCACAGCAGGATGCCACATCGCATGCAGGGCTGTGCCAGACCTGGGACACAGATGGGAGCACTGAGGTGTTCCAGGAGACTCACAGCAGGGTCAAGGTGTTCTCCAAGTGATTACAAATGGGGTCTCCAGAAACCCTTCCACAGGAAAACTCCATCAGAGACCTCAGGATCCCCCAGTGCTGCACAGCCTGCACTGCACACAGGAGAGGACTGAACAGTGCTGGTCCTTCCTGAGCCCCAGCTGTACAAACCCTTCCCTGCCTCCCTGTCACTCCCTGAGTGCTGTGCTGTGCACAGTGCTGCTGCTTCACTCGTGTGTGGTGGGTGCCATGGAGGGACGAGACCAGGTCCATGCAGCCAGCAATGGGGACCACCAGGAACAAGAGTGGACCAGAAGGAGCTGCTCCAGCACCCACAGAGAGAGAAACTGTGTTTAACAGCATCTGGTGATTTTTCCTTCCAGAGACTCACTAATTCCAGCTGAAGACAGGTGCTAACCCTGGCACACAGAAGTCCCACCAAGGGAGACTGAGCATTTTGTCCTGTCCTTTAACCCTTGCCCTGGAACGAGTTCTTACCCCAGGGGGCACTGCCCCCTTATCCCACAGCAGCCCAATTCTTTAAAAGCCTTGGGTGAAAAGCCGTATAGAACTGCAGATAACACCAAACACATCGCCTTGTAGTGACCAGAGCTCCCAGCAGGAGCACGTGTTCTGCACCAGGCAGATCAGAGAATCCACCAGAATGGGTGCACTTTTCACTTCAGTGAATCACCTTGAGTTATTTGCGATTTAAGACACTGCAGCAAACAGTCACAATACCAACTACATACTATAGCAGAGAGAGGAGAGAAAAAAAGACACAACTACTCTTGCAAGGAGCTGAACCAGAGTTTTCATCCAGAAAGCAGCTCCCAGGACCCCTCCAGCCACACACAGCACAACTCCCACAGCAGGATCCACAACCAGCTCAAGCAGCTGAGGTGACATGGATGGGAACACTCCATGCCCAGTCAGGAAGATGTAATTCCTCGGCATGCACTTCTCACTCATAGATCCAGTGCTCGGCTGTGTTCTGCCAGCAGGTCAGCTCCTCCGGCTGGAACCACAAGGAGATCTCCTGCCTGGCACTCTCAACTGAGTCGCTGCCATGGATCACATTCCTGGTGGGAAGACAAAAGGAATCAGCCAGCACTAAGCAGAGAAAGGTGAGAGAGGGAAGCTGCAGTTTGGAGTAATTTCACCTTGAGAGATTTGATTAAACTGACTGATCCAGTTACATCCTACAACATTCCTTCTCACTGCAAAGCCCTTCTCCCTCCAGCTCAGGGGCTGGCTATAATTATGCTGAATGTGGCTTAGGCCATGGATGTGTCTTTGTATGATGAGGAGCCATTTGTCTGCTAAAGGAGGAGCTGCCCACGGCTATTGACTTGGAGGTTGCTTTGGATTTACGTCAGGAATTCAAGTATTGCCTCAAGACTTCCCCCCTTCCAGGTTTCGCCTTGTTGAAGCAGGTTTGGTATCAGACACCACAGAATGGACACCTAAGCCAGGAGGATTTGATACAAGCTCTGTCTACCAGAAGCCAGGCTGCAGCCACCCCTGGTCACCACTTGTGGATCCTCACCCGTGAACAGCCCCAGCACATGTAGAGCTCCAGCCTGGCTTTACATGCTGAGGAAAAGACAAGCAAATCCCACCTGCTTTCCAAAGAGAAGGCCTGAGGAGGCAGGAGAGGCTCTGGAAAGCAAGCCCCAGGAAGTGGAGCTCAGTTCATCCTGCGAGGGCTGCTCTGCACGCTGTCAGAGGGAGACAGCTCTGCTCTGAGCACAGAAGGGAGCAGCCCTGCTCTGCAGATGCAGACTCCCGTGGCTCAGGAAGGGCTGGAGAGGATGCCCTGGACTACTGAGGGACCAAAAAGGCAAAGCTCTCACTTGCTGACTTCAAGGCAGAAGTCTCCTCGGATGGTGCCAGGCCTGGAATCAGCTGGGTTAGTCTCCCCAATCATCGTGCGAACGGTCTTGACCACATCCAGGCCCTGCCAGACCTACATGACACCAAAACAAGAATCAGCTTTAACAACTCCCCTAGCAGGTCATACCATCAGTCCTCCATATTCCACATCAGATCCACCTGGGTGACAGAAAAGGGTCCCTGTAAAGTCTTCAAACATTGATTTTGGAAAATCATCAGAATTTTCTGTGGATTTAATTTATCACAGAATTCCAAAGTGGTTTGTGTTGGAAAGGACCTTAAAGCTCATCCAGTTCCAACCCCCTGCCACGGGCAGGGACACCTTCCACTAGACCAGGTTGCTCCAAGCCCCATCCAACCTGCCCTTGAACACTGCCAGGGATGGGGCAGCCACAGCTTCTCTGGGCACCCTGTGCCAGCGCCTCAGCACCCTCACAGGGAAGAACTGCTGCCTAAGAGCTCATCTAAATCTCCCCTCTGTCAGGTTAAAGCCATTCTCCCTTGGCCTGTCCCTATAGGCCCTTGTCCAAAGCTCCTCTCCAGGTTTCTTGTAGCCTCTTTAGGCACTGGAACTGCTCTGAGGTCTCCCTTTAAGGAGCCTTCTCTTAGCCAGGCTAAGCAAGCCCAGCTCTCATCCTGGCTCCAGAGCAGAGCTGCTTCAGCCCTCGCAGCATCTCCATGTCCTCCTCTGGACTCACTCCAACAGCTCCATGTCCCTCTTGTGCTGTTTCCCCAGACCTGGATCAGGACTGCAGGGGGGGGTCCTCCCAAGACTGCAGCAGAGGCAAGAATCCTCTCCCTCTCATGCTGCTTGCGCTCTGGGGATGCAGCCCAGCACATTGGGAGTTCTGGGCTCAAGCGCTCACTGAAGCCATGTCATGGGGCCCTGCTCATTGACCAACACCCCCAAGTCCTTCTCCTCAGGGTTGCTCCATCCAGTCTCCCGCAGCCTGTGTTTGTGCTGGGGACTGCCCCAACCCAGGGGCAGGGCCTTTCATGTGGCCTGTTTGGACTTCACAAGGTTTGCACAGGCCAAATTTACTACAGAAAACATCCCTGCAGTCCAGTGCAACTTCAAGAAGCCTCCTGAAGAGACAGGACACCTTGTTTCCATCATACCACACACCAGTGCTGCTTACTCATTGCACTTACTTTCTGTTCCTTGGTTCTGGAGAACCTGGCCAGCACTCACCATGGCTACAATGGGCCCAGAGCTCATGTACTTCACCAGCCGGCTGTAGAAGGGTTGGTCACGGTGGGCTATGTAGTGCTCCTTCAGCAGCTCCTCTGAGGCCTGAGCACAAAGAGCACAAAGCTTAGTCTGCCAGAGCAGATGGATACTTGGGCAAGGTTACACCTAAGATACGTAAAAGCTGGACAGTGCCTGTTCAACTTAAGCTCCTGCACAGATATGCTCTTCCAGGAGCAAAACAGGTTCACTTTGTTGAAGCCTGACATATAGAGGGAAGAAGTTTCTTGGTCAGAGGAGCAGCTTACAGCAGCCATGCATGAGAGCCCTGGGGCATAGACACCCCAAGGGACAAGCTTTCACCCCATGGCTGGCACAGAATCATAGAATCAGAGTGGTTTCAATTAGAAGGGAGCTTTAAAACTCCTCCAGTCCCACCCCCCTGCCACGGGCAGGGACACCTTCCACTAGACCAGGTTGCTCCAAGCCCCATCCAACCTGTCCTTGAACACTGCCAGGGATGGGGCAGCCACAGCTTCTCTGGGCACCCTGTGCCAGCACCTCAGCACCCTCACAGGGAAGAGCTTCTGCCTAAGAGCTCATCTCAGTCTCCCCTCTCTCAGGTTAAAGCCATTCCCCCTTGTCCTATCCCTACAGGCCCTTTTATCTTCCTTATATCTAACCTGAATCTCTTCTGTTTAAGTTTGAACCCATTACACCTTGTCCTATTCCTACAGTCCCTGATGAAGAGTCTCTCTCCAGCACTCACCTCTCCAGGAATGATTTAAGCCCCTGGGTGCCAAAATCCTGCTGACCCGTGATTACCCGGTGCCTGAATGCCCCCAGCAGGCGGGCAAGCGGGCAGAGCCCCCGCCAGAGCTGCACGGGGGTTGTCCCGAGCTCCTGGGCTCCCGGCCCCTCACCTGCAGGAGCTTCATCCCCACCAGCTGCAGCCCCTTCCTCTCGAACCGCCGGATGATCTCCCCGACCAGGTGCCGCTGCACCCCGTCCGGTTTGATGGCCACGAACGTGCGCTCGTTGATCCCGCTGCAGCCTGCAAAGACAAGGCGAGGCGTCAAAGCGGGAAGGCGGCCTTCAGCCGTGGGGTCCCGGTCCCGTCCGGTCCCGTCCCGTCCCGTACCGCTGTGGAAAAGGCCGGCGAAGAGGCCCAACACCAGGCAAATCATGGCGGCACCGCTCTTAAGGGGGCCGCGCCGGGCTCACAGCGCCCCTTGTGCCGCCCCGTGATCGGCGGAGAGACCGTACTGGGAGCGAGGAGCTGCGGGTGGTGCCGGAGCCCCGCGGAGAGAAACCTCGGGGGGGCGCTGGAGAAGCAGCGGGTCCTGCGGCCGGAGGGTACGCGCCCGGCTCTGACAGGGAGGGCGGCCACGCTCCCGGCTCCCAGAGCTGGGGTCCGCGCAGCCTCCAGCCTGTTTGCTAGACTCGTCTGGCTCCGTTACTTCCATCGCTGCTGTCGCGACTGTAGACGAGCTGTGGTTTTGGTTGTGGCAGGTACCTGCTGCGCTGCCCGCACTGCTCGAGTGCACCCCGGAGTACCAGCTCCTGCGGCTCTGGAGCTGGCGAGCCCGGGCTGGCACCTCTGGAGAGTGAACTAGGCTCGGTCCGACAGCTCCATGTCCCTCTTGTGCTGCTGCCCCAGAGCTGGATCAGGACTGCGGGAGGGGGCTCCCCAGAGCACAGCAGAGGGGGACAATCCCCTCTCTCTCCTGTTGCTCTCACTCTGGGGATGCAGCCCAGTACATGGGGGGTTTCTGGGCTCAAACACTCACTGAACTGGGTCATGGGGAGCTTCTCATTGACTATATCTTGAATTGCTTTGTTCATTAGCATCTGTCATGTGCCAATATTGCTAATTACATTATTCCTACACAACTCATTTGCTTCACTGCTGCTAGCAGCAAGATTTGGTTAACTAAACATGGTTTTTAAGGATACATGGTTTGTATCCTTAAATGTTCAGACTTCTGCTCTGCTTACTCTCCTCCATGCAGATCTTGGGCAGGTACTCTTAGTTCTTTGTACGACAGGGACCCAATTGCTTTATCTGACATAGTTTTGAGTAAATTATTACCATGCTTGCACCAATAAAATAATTAGAGGCCATATTCTGAGGGTCTATAGCATGGCTTTGCCTGAGGAAGATTGTCCCTGTTTGCTCCAACACAGTTGTGCTGACTATTCTGCCAGTAGAAAAGTCTTTGTAGGATAAATGCTGTCACCCACTCTGCTGTGGGATTTGCTGTGAAGTGGTGGGTATAGGCAGTGCTTGGGACATGGTGGAGGTTTCACAAGTGGAACCTTTCTTCAGGTGAGAGACCCGTTCAAGCATGGTGGCCTGATAAGGCAGGCTGCTGGTGTAACCTAGCACACAGCCCAAGAACATGCTGTGTGATGTCCACTATGGCTGTATCAGCACCTACTGCATCCTCAGAGATTCTCCTTGTCCCTGGCTTTCACTGGGTTCCCTTCTGCCCCAGAGTTGATCAGTTCAGTTGTTGCTCATTTCCTCCTCCCCGCAGGTCTCAACCCTGCTCCTGCCTTCCCAACCCTTCTCTCTACTCCTCACCTCACTTCATCAGCATTTCTTTCCTCTCCTCCTGCGTGCTCAGGCATACAGTGGCACACAGCCCTGTACCCTGCCTGTGCCCCGAGGTCCACCCCTTGGACTAGGCTGTCCTGCTGGCAAAGCTCCCTCATAAAAGAAGGTGCTGATGTTCTTAAGGTGGGTAAGCAGCATGTTCTCAGAAACAGCTTCCTGGCCACAAATTGTTCAGCCTGTTGGCTAAGTTCAGTCTTCTTGCACACACACAGACATTGAGTTTCTACAAATGTAATAAACTTTGTTCTTGGTGACCAGAAGAGCTGGCTTTGGAAGTTTGCCTTTGGCAACCTAGAATGCATGAGAAGGTTTTCACAGTCACTGTGGCAAATGGGCCATTGCTGTCACAGGTACTTGGCTGAAGGAAGGAAGGACAGTTTTACAGGTGCCTGCAGAGATGGTCACAGACAGAGTCAGCAATCCAGCCAGCACATGCGTGTGCTGTAGGCAGCCACACTCCCAACACTTGCAGAATTCCTTGTTTCACACTAGTGTTTGTGTTTCTTAGTGCTGATGAAATACCTCTTTTGTTCTGTCCTTCTCCACAGGTCTCCTCAAGGATCCTGGCTCAGGGGTGAAGGTTTGAAATTCATTGGACTGTAAATATTCTTCTGAGCCTCAGGCAATTCCCTGCAGCATAACCTGGAGGAGAAACATGCCAAGCACAGTTCACTCCAGTGAGTCCTTCTCTTCTCTGTGCATGTGAGCTGGCAACTGAGGTGCTGGCAGAAGAAAGTTTGGACTTGGTTCTCTAGGCTGGACACTGGAGCCTCATAAACCTGACCAGCTAGCTTTGGCAATGGAGCTGGGTCTGATTCTCACACAGATTATTCCAAAACCAGTGTCTTCTAAGCATCTACACCCCATGGCTTTTGGCAGATGTGTACCTGGGTAAACATTCCTGCTTACTGCCCATTCCCAGGCATGGGAATGGGCAGTAAGCAGGAATGAGCCCACCACAAGGTGTTCATACAGAGGTTTCACTGGGGTACTGAGCCGAGTTTCCAGACGGAAAGCTGTGAGTGGCACAGCATGCAGCCACCACTGCACATCCGGAAGCTGCCAGGTGAATTTGCTCCCAGGCCTCTTGTTTGGAAAGGCCAATGATTGCTTCTGGGACCTCCTCATGAGGAACCCGAAAGGGCAGGTACCTTCTGGTACCACTTACAGTTCCCATTTAAGTTTGTTTCCCACGTTGCAGTGGAGGCTGTTCTCATGCTCCCCACCCCCCACCCCCCACCCCACCCCCCCCCCGGCTGAAAATTGCTGAGTTTGCTGTTGCTGGATAAAACATTGCAGATATTGTGGTCATATAATAGACTACAGATAATGCAGGTGCAGATAACATGGTCATCAAAGCGTGTGCAGTGCAAAGGCATTTTGTGTCCTTTTGTCTTAACATCACCTGATGTTGTCCCTGCTTCCTCACCAGGTTATTTTTGCACCTTCAGTGACTTGCTGGCTCAGGGAGGATTCTTTCCTTTCAGTTCAGCCATGGTCTGTCACCACTACAGTGTTGACAGAGCCATGTGAGTGCTGGTGCCTCTCATAGGCTCTGCACAGGTGGAGACTTGCTGTCTGCTTTTCAACCCAGCTGCTGCTGAAAATGATTTCATCTTCTTTAGTGTTGTGGGTTCAGCAGCAGCAGTCATTTTTCTCCGTCTTAGTAGCTGGTGCAGTGCTGTGGTTTTAACTTTCAGTCTGGGAACAGTGCTGATAACACCGGTGTTTTTACTTGCTGCTCAGTAATGTTTACTCTGACCAAGAACTTTTTGAGTCTCATGCTCTGCCAGGGAGGAGGGGAAGCCCGGAGGAAGCAGAGACAGGACACCTGACCCAAACTACCCAAAGAGGTATTCTATACTCATTCATGCCCAGGATGTAGAACTGGGGGCAGTTACCCAGAAGGGTTAGATCACTGCTTGGTCGGGCTGGGTATCTGTTGGCGGGTGGTGAGCTGTTGTGTTCTCTTCCCTTGTTATTTCCTTTATCATTATTATTATTGGTGGTAGCAGTAGTGATTTGTGTTATACCTTAGTTACCGGACTGTTCTTATCTCAACCCGTGGGAGTTACATTCTTTCGATTCTCCTCTCCATCCCTCCGGGAGCCGGGGTGGGGAGGAAGAAGGGGGGAGTGAGAGAGCAAGCTGCGTGGCTGACTTGTCTTAAACCACATTTAGGATGGTCCCATGGTGAAGACTGAAGAGGTGACAGAGGTGGTGGTAGTGGTAGAGCTAGATTTTCTTAAGTACCTCTTTTCGCTAACCCTGGCAACACAGATCTCAGAGCCAGACTGGCACAAAGTGCTCTACAGCAGAGCCGCTTTGCGAAGTGAACGCCAAAGGGGGAGAGGATTCACTCACAACTGCCATTGCTCCACTCTGAGACAAAGCTGTGTGACAGAGGGTGGTGGTTTGAGAGAACCTGTGTGTAAGCGGTATCCAAGTTCAGGTCTTTAGGGATATATGCAGGCTCCAGCCTTAAACCCCGGAACAGGGGGGACTGGACAGGCCAGATTTGCCTTTCCTTGCATTTGGCTTTTCCATTCTCACGGAGTCCATAAAAGATTTGCTTGAAATAAATGTTGGGAGTACACAGCCCTTGGGGACACTCACATTTTGAGGCAGAGAGATTTGTGTGCAGTCCGTCAGCATTTACACCTGTCTAGGCAGCCTGTGCTGCTGTGCTGAGAAGTTCCCCAGTTATAGAATCATAGAATGGTTTGGGTTGGAAGAGACCTTAAAGCTCATCTGGGAGGTGGCAGATGTGTGTGGGTAAAGTCTGGCCTCTTCTTCTTTATCAGACAGCAGTGCCGAGGTGTGAATACATTGATCTTGTGTGTGAGATACTGGAGGTAAAGCTTCTTACAATCCTTGAAGGTTTTATGTTCCTTGGGGTTGAACTGTATGGAGAAGGCTCCACTGGTAAGCTCCTGTGTGTGAGGAATGCTTTGCCAGGAGAGGCGGTGGCTGGCTTGGACCAGGTTACATCCGCTTCCGTCATCCTTCACCCTGGCCTGCAGTGGGACTGAAGAGGGACTGCAGGCTTTGATGCACAGTTTGGAGCCTTTTCTTATTAAGACCCTGATTCAGAATGGATCCAGCCTCCCCTCCCCAGCCCCACCGACAACTGCCCGCATCTCTGTGAAAGGAGCTGCTGGTCCTTGTTCAGGTCTTTGCCTTGCAGATCCTGTGTCCCATGGCAGAGCAGCAACGCTCCTTGTGATGCCTCAACAGCCATAAACTAGGTCAAATACCATCTAAATCCTTGCTTGATATCCCTTGAACTAAATTCCTGCCCTGCCTCAGCATGCCCCAAAGGGGGTCATGACTCGCTGGCTTACTGGGAGCCAAGAAGGATGAGCAGGATTTACCACAGCTCTGTGTAAACAGAGCTAATGCAGCGAGCCAAGCCCAGCTTCACCCCGCAGGGATGTGTCCTACCCATGTGCTTCCGTTGCTGCTTCATTGGGTGCCTTTGGTGGCCAGGGCTGTCACCGGTGCTGCTGGCTGAGGGGTGACAGGAGGGTGAGGGTCTGTCCCACCCGTGCCTGCCTGTGTCCCGGTGATTGCTGTGTTGTATGTCTCACCTCTGTCACTTTTCCTCCTGGCCCCAGCTGTGCTGCAGCTGCAGGGTAACACCAAGGTGTTGCTCCTCGACCTGCATCAGAAATTCAGCCAGCAGGTCCCTGTGCTGACGAAGGCAAGACCAACACACCCGTGCAAGTGAGTTGTGTCACTGGAGACAGTCACCTCCCAGGCCCAGAGCTTTGGGAATCCTCAGCAGAAGTTACAGGAACATGGATCCATGCCTGCCCACCTGCCCTCAATGCCATCAGTGTAAGGCCCAGACTAGATGTGCCCCAAGATGACTGTCAGTCTCTTGTGCTGATGAAAATCCTCTGTTCTTGTGGTGAATGCGGTGATTCAGCACTGGGAGTGGAGGGGAAATGACAGCCTGAGGAAAATCTTTTCACTCCAGAGTTCTGGAGCTTTCTAGGAAAGGAAAGAAAATTGAGTTGGGTAAAATAGTTGCCCACTGCTTGATGCTCAGGGGAGGCTGCAGCATCTGGGGTCTGCCTTTCACTGAGGTGTTCAATAAGCCATGTATTTCCTGCAGCATGTCCTGACTTTTTATGTCCTACTCATTAAGGTTCTCATTCAAAGCCTATCACAAGAGAAGCAAGAGCCACCTCTGCTTAAAGATCTGGGGTGTGGGAAGGAAAAGCATGGAGTCACGGGGCTCTGTGGAGAATAAATACACATGGAGCAAAAACTCTACCAGAGCCTTTGCCAGTCTGTGACAGGAGCAGGGGAAAAGGCAGCAGCTGGAGCTCTGTATTCTCAGTGACAGGGCTGGGAGGAATCCTGTGGAGAAGACAGGTTAAAAGCCATTTATAGCATCGTATTTATTTCATAAATATATTAATTCCTTATTTCACTTCTAAGCATCCTGCCCATCTGCTCTCACAGCAGTGCGATTGCAGCTTTGAGGGGTGCAAGCAGGAGGAAGTGAAGGTGCCAAACGTGGCCATGACCAGATCATCTCTGTGATGGCTCCTGGAGCTGGCCTGTCCCAACAGCATGACACAAGCTGGGCAGTGAGAACGGCTGAAGCACCTTCACCCTGCTCTTCCTGAGCAGCTTGTGTCCTCTGCAAGGAGCAGTTCAAGAATTTTCCCTTCCTCTTCCCTGTATAAAACTGAGGGTGGCTCAGCTGCAAAGAGCAGGCAGGCAACAGAACCAGGCCACTGCTCCATCAGTGGCTCACCCAGGCTCTAAACCTGGCACTTCCCTTCACAGAAAGCCTCGGTGAGCTGTTCTGTGTGAAGATGCTGCACTGATACTGCTCTGTAAATTGAATCGGGGGGGGGGGGGGGGGTTCCTGAGCTGAGGACAAAAATCCTGCAGCCTCCCTCTCCTCCAATGCACAGCCACAGGCCCTTTTCTGGCTGTGCGGAAGATCCAGCCCAGCCCACCAGGAGCCTCAGCAGGAAGCACAAGAACCCTCCCCAGGGCAGAGGCACAGGAGTCTCCTCTTCCTTTACCTGCTCCTGATGGGACACACGAGTGTGGCACCTATAACACCCCCACCAGCCTCTTAGCTGTCCCAGTGTGGCTATTTTTGACCAGCGCCTTCAGATTCCGGCCTTCAACGGCCACAAGAGGAACCAAAGACAGTTTCTACGTTTATTATTACATTTTAATACAGTCTTTGATAGAGGAGAAGCAGCAGGAGTCAACATGCAAAGCAATTAGTCATCAGGGGCTCGAGTGAGCTCACCCGTAGCTCAACTCATGTAACTGCTCCCGCAGAGCAGCAATACAGATGCAGCCGCAGGAGCCCACGTCCCCACACACTGCTGCTCCATTGGGCCCCACAGCGTAATGAGTTCATGGCAGACACTAAACCAACATACAACAGTTAGGAGGACATGGACTGGTCTTTGAGTTTGTCTTTTGATGAGTCAAGTCTGCTATCTGATAAAAGTCTGGTGTTCTTTGAAAACAGGAAATCACCTTAGTTGTCTCTGCCAATGGTGAGAAGAGAGATCCTTCAGGAAGAGGCGATGGCTTTGACAGCAAGTCAGGAGATGAAGCACAGATATTTGGCTGCAGTTTACCTGGTTCATAGAGCTGAGACCTCTTTGAGTCAAACAAGGCTTTTCAATGCATGTGATGGATCTTTAGGCTAAAGATTTCCAACAGGGAAACCTTTGCAACCGAGTAGAAATGGATGTCCCTGTGAAGAAAGAGGCGCATTGGGCCTGGGCAGCCCTCACAGGCAGCAGAACAAAACCCCACTGAGTCCCTTACAGCAGTTCCTCTGCAGACACATTATGTCCTCCGGCACCTCTTCCTTTGGCAGGCCTCTGCGTCTGAGCCACAGGAGCTGTCTGAGTCACTTCCAGAGGACGAGGAGGAGGAAGGCTTCGATGTGCTATAGTTCATGCTCAAGACCCACCCCAGTTTGTTGTGTAGCACCTGCTTGAGTCCTGGTGGCAGGGGCAGCACCTCCAGCGTGTCCACGTAGTTGGGCAGGAGCTGACGCAGGCGGTAGCAGCAGAGGTACTGCAGGGATGTGCAGCTGGCGCAGGACCGGATCACCTTCATGCTGCTCTTGGCTGCTGTTGAGCACACCATGGGGTAAAACTTCTTGTTCTGCAGCTTTGTGGCTGCAACCCCTGCCAGGGGACAGCAAGGGCAGGTTTCACGTTAGTTTTCACCAGGTGACCTCACTCCTCCCAGCTCCCCTGAACCTATTAACTACAGAGCTGTTTGAATCACTTGGAAATGCCAATCCATAAAACAGCAATTGTAGCCTTCCTCCCACTTGCTCCATGCTTTGCTCCTGTTTTGCTGGTGTTTCCTCCTGCAGCCTGACTCTGAGCTCAGCCACATGTCCCCTGCCAGCATCTGCCCTCACTCCTACCTATGCACTTGCGGTTCTTGAAGAAGGTCAGCGTCCCATGCCACGTGTCCAAATGCACCCCGATGATGGAGCCTTGCCCAAACCTCGATGAGAAGTTTGTTTTGTCTCCCTTGTGGTGCAGCAGTCCTTCAAACAAACACACAAAGGTATTCAGCGGAAAGACTGTGGTCTGAAAATTCATCCCAACTCCCGCACTGCGAGTTCCCACTACTCCAGCCTCACCCAGTGCCTATAAAACCCCTCTGTTGCCTGATCCCTCCCCCTCCCACCCCAGAGTAGGGTGACAAGAAGGGCTAAGTGAAGGTTTTGCAACACCAGAGTGCAAGCAGCAGCATGAAACCCTCACCAGTGGCACCTGGACTGGTAGGAGCTGCTGGCACCTGCCCTGGCTGTCACTAACAAACGGACTCACAGGTCTGGTGGCCTCAGTCCCCTTCAGAGTGTTGTTCAAGCCCCTAAGAAAATGCTTGTTCCTGATGCTGCCCCTCCACCACCCTGCCACAACCCTGGCTGTGTCACCTGTGTAGGACAGTCCCCAGCTGTCCTCATCCTTGCCCAGCAGGCTGCAGAACGTGTGGCGGTACTTGTCCAGGTTCACATCCGATGTCCCAATTCCCACCATCTGGGAGGCAAGGCCATGTAGAGAAAACAAGCTTAGTGTCTTTCCAGGCAATAACATACAACGAAGACTCACTGCCTGCAGCTCTCCCCAACTTTTCTGGGCAAAGTCCAAGTCATCCAGAGGTTTTGGTTAAGTCAAGACAGAGGTTTCATGAGTTGGAGGCTCCCAGCTCCAATTTCTTCTCCTAAATGAGGCCCAGCTGAACTGCTGGAGAAGCTTGCTGTCCTGTTCAAGGAATCCCAGACTGGTTTGGGTTGAAACGGAATTTAAAACTCATCCAGTTCCAACTCCCTGCCACAGGCAGGGACACCTTCCACTAGACCAGGTTGCTCCAAGCCCCATCCAACCTGGCCTTGAACACTGCCAGGGATGGGGCAGCCACAGCTTCTCTGGGCACCCTGTGCCAGCGCCTCAGCACCCTCACAGGGAAGAGCTTCTGCCTAAGAGCTCATCTCAGTCTCCCCTCTGTCAGGTTAAAGCCATTCTCCCTTGGCCTGTCCCTACAGGCCCTTGTCCAAAGCCCCTCTCCAGGTTTCTTGTAGCCCCTTTAGGCACTGGAGCTGCTCTAAGGTCTCCCCTTAAAGAAGGAGCCTTCTCTTCTCCAGGCTGAACCAGCCCAGCTCTCTCAGCCTGGCTCCAGAGCAGAGCTGCTCCAGCCCTTGCAGCATCTCCATGTCCTCCTCTGGACTCACTCCAACAGCTCCATGTCCCTCTTGTGCTGTTGCCCCAGAGCTGGATCAGGACTGCGGGGGGGAGGGTCTCCCCAGAGCACAGCAGAGGGGGAGAATCCCCTCCCTCTCCTGCTGCTCACGCTCTGCAGGTGCAGACCAGCGCATGGGGGGGTTCTGGGCTCAAGCACTCACTGAAGCTAGGTCATAGGAAGCTGCTCATCAACCAACAACCCCAAGTCCTTAGCCTCAGGGCTGCTCCATCCAGTCTCCCCCAGCCTGTGTTTGTGCTGGCGATTGCCGTGATCCAATTGCAGGACCATGCACTTGGCCTTTTGAACTGAGGAACACCAATCACTGGTCTCCACCCCTACACTGAGCCACTGACCACAACTTTTGAGTGTGACCATCCAGCCAATTCCTTATACGGTGATGGTCCATCTGTCAAATCCGTGTTTCTCCAGATTAGAGACAAGGTTGCCGTGTAAGACAGTCAAATACTTTGCACAAGTCCGTTTAGTTGTTTGTCCCTTTCCCACCATGGGGCCACAGCCCCATCACAGAAGGCCACCAGATTTGTCAGGCATGATTTGTCCTTAGTGAAGCCGTGTTGGCTGTCAGCAGTCACCCCCTTACTGCCCATGTACCTTAGCACAGTTTCCAGGAGGATCTGCCCCATGATCTTGCTAGGCACTGAAGTGAGACTGACTAGCCTGTAGTTACCTGGGTCTTCCTTTTTTTCCCTTTTTAGTAATGGGGGTTGTGTTTCCCCTTTTTCAGTCAATGGGAGCCTCACTGGACTGCCACAACTTCTCAAATATTCTGGATAGTGGCTTGGCCACTTTATCTGCCAATTTCTTCAGGACCCTCAGATACTACTCATGTCCCATGGACCTGAAGTGATAAATGCCCCATCCCTGGCAGTGTTCAAGGCCAGGTTGGACAGAGCCTTGAGCAACACGGTCTAGTGTGAGACAACCCTGCCCATGGCAGGGGGGTGGAACTGAATCATCTGAAGGTCCTTCGCAATCCAAACCAGACTGTGAATCTATGATTCTGTGACTTGTGCATCCTCAGGCTCCTTAGTCTCAAACCTGATCTTCTATTTCAGTACTTCATTTTCACAATCCCTGTTCAAGGAATACTGGACATTTCTGTGTGCCCATAAACAACTCTGCTGCACGTACCATGTCTGTGCCATAGACAGGGGAGGTCATCTTGATCTCCCAGAAGTGCTGCCCCTCAGCCAGCTCCTTGTTGCCACGGATGGCAGCAGTGCCACAGCTGTATTCCATGTGGAAGTTCACCTTGCGGTTGTCACATGTCAGCTGCGTGGCCGTTGACTTGTTCAGGTCATCCCACACCCAATCAAAATCTGTTCAGGAAGCAGAGACAGGACACAGTTGACAAAGGCCCTCAGGGAGTGATCCCCAAGCCAAAGCACAGGTGGGGTTTATTTAGGTTTTTACCATTTAAGAGGGTAAATCCTAAGCTGTGCACAGGGTTCCTTGGGGGCTGAACTATGCTGCCCCACTGGGAAGGGTTCAGTGCTCTGAACCTGAAGCTGTTGGCATTCACCTCTTCCCATTTTGGCCAACATGAGGCTCTGCAGACCCAGATGGAGCCTCTTTCCTTCCTTCTTACACTCCTCGCAGGCTCAAGTGGCAGCTCCACCACGCCACAGGCTTTCTCAGCCAGCTCAAGCCTACCGTTTCCCTACCTTTCCCCCCTGCTCTAAGCACCCTGCAAGGATCAGTGGCAAAGAGGGTTATAACCATAACAGCCTGTTTCACCAGTGGCCTAAGCCAGATTTGCAAGGAGGTCTCCAGAGGTGAACTCTGAGGCATTAAGCTAAGCACTTAGCCCCTGAAACACCACCAAGGCACATGCTTGTAATCTCCCTGCAGCCTGTGTGGCCTTGAGGTGTAAACAAAGGTGCTGAGGCAGAGCTAAGGGCCCCCATGGAAGCCAAAGGATCCATGCTGGATCCTCAGGGCCAAAGGACTATGGTGGGGTGATGGGGAACCCCTCCCTTACACTCATCCTCCTCGCCACACTGGCAGTCCTTCACGCGGTGGAGGCCGTGCAGGCTGGAGCAGTAGGGAGCTTCACTCTGGTTCTCACAGTTGCAGTACGATTCTCCAGTAACAGGGATGGCACTTGGGATGGAAGGTGAGAGGGAGGAAAACTCTGTCTCCGAATCAGAGTCGCTGTGCTGCCAGAGAGAACACAGGAATGGCCATAGAATCATGGAATGGTTTGGGTAGGAAAGGACCTTAAAGCTCATCCAGTTCCAATCCACTGACACAGGCAAGGACACCTTCCACTAGACCAGGTTGCTCCAAGCGCCGTCCAACCTGGCCTTGAACACTGCCAGGGATGGGGCAGCCACAGCTTCTCTGGGCACCCTGTGCCAGCGCCTCAGCACCCTCACGGGGAAAGAGCTGCATAAGATCTAACCTGAACTTGCCCTGTTTACTGTTTCCCCTGGTCACTACTGAAGGAGCCCAAGCTCATGGAGCTGGGCTGGCAGAGGGCTGCACTGTGTCTTGGCCAGGCTCACCATGCAGGGACATGAGGGGCTGTGTCAGGCAAATCACCCCACTATGGGACCTGGTTAGTATGTGTCTGAGCCACAGAGACCTCTCAGTAGTGGGCACTCTATGATGGAGTTATGTTCTTTGTGCCTTCCAGGGGTGAGGAGCTGCCATAGCCTGCACACAATGGGACAGGTCATGTCTAATCACACAGCTGTGGTTTTCAACGGGCAGGTTACAGCCAGCTGGAAACCCCAGCTGAGGTGTCACAACAGCAGAGCACACAGCTGAAACTGCTGCTCTGGAGAGCCTGGAAGCTGAGAGAGAGGAGAGGGAGGCGAACAGGACAAGGAGGAAAAGGGCCAGGAGGCCATGCAGGGGAGAGGGCAGAACAAAGGGGAAGCAGCTCAGCAGCAGGGCAGCAGCTCCTTGTGCTAGCACTGCAGACAGACCCACGGGGAACCCACAGGTGGATCAAAAGGCTTTTGTTGACTTTCATGCATGAACACAAAAACTTGATTTCTTCTCCCCCCCCCCCCCCCAATTTGAGGATCTTAAAGGTCTTTTTCAACCTAACTGATTCTACAAGACCAAAGTGTCCCTTCACTCAATGCTGCAAGAGTCAATGCCCCATCTCACTCCCACAATGGGAGGCTTGGTGTCACCTCATGGAGTCTCTTATGACAGACTACAGCAAGTTACTCTGGGTTTACACACTGGTCAGGTGTACTTGCTCATTATTCACACCCTGGCAGACTTTGCAGGCAGTATTTAAAGCCCATCCTTAAACTCATGTTCTTGTGGCTGTCTAAGACAGTGGAACTTGAAATGACTTGGGCTTACTTAGGTATCGCCCACCCTTCCTTCTCTCGCATGCATACTAAGAAGCTTGACTTCCATCTTTCACTGGCACTTTCCAACTACTGCTTTGGAGCAATCCAGCCATTCCCATTACTGCAGAAACACAAAGCTGCTCTGGCTCCACAGAAAACTCATTTTCTGTGAGCACAGTGCCTGGGTTTGGACTGAGCTCTGGCAGGGGTCTCACAAGTCTTGAGCCAAGCTTTGAAGCTTCAGGAGCAGTTCCTTGTGTCTCCACTGCTGCACAGGGACCTGAACTCATGCACTCAAGAACTGGGGAGAAGAGTAAAGGGCAGTGGAGGTGAACCCAAGTCACACCTCTGTTTTACTGACCACTTCTCCCTGCTGGGCTCCCATCTTCCAGGGCCAGGTTCAGAAGTGATGTGCACGTTACAGAGCAGGAATTTCATTTTGAAGATATGTGAGGCTGTAACATCGCAGACTGAAGCAGCCTCACTCCCACTGCACAAAGACCAGATGTCAGCACTGCCCTACAGCGAGCCATAGCTCAGAACTGATCCAATTTAACACATATTTAGATCACTACTTAACAAAGAATATTTAAAATCCATTGTATGTACTTTACATACATCACACACATTTTATATGCTTAAAAAAGCCTTTAGCTTAGTGTCGGTCAACTCCCTGGCTCAGCTGAGAGCTGTGGCGCATGGCTGGGGAGCAGTTTAACATTCCCTGCTTAGGGAAGATATGCTGGGAGCCCCACAGCCCATGTTGGAGCTTGGAGGAGGCTCATTATTTGTGTTCTGATTTCATTAAGTCTGTTCTGATTTCGGCCAGTTGCCAGCTCCTCAGTTACATGGACCTTGCAGAAGGGTCTGGAGCACAAGTCTGATGAGGAATAGCTGAGGGACCTGGCGGGGTTTAGTCTGGAGGAGGCTCAGGGGGGACCATGTCACTCTCTACAACTGCCTGAAAGGAGGATGGAGCCAGGAGGTGGCTGCTCTCTGCTCCCAAAGAACAAACAATAGGACAAGAGGAAATGGCCTCAAGCTTCACCAGGAGAGGATGAGACTGGATATTAGGAACAGTTTCTTCCCCAAAGAGTGCTCAGGCATTGGAACAGGCTGCCCAGGGCAGTGGTGGAGTCACCATCCCTGGAAGTGTTCACAAACCATGTAGACAAGGCCTTCAGTGACATGGTTTAGTGGTGGCCTTGGCAGTGCTGGGGAACAGTTGGGCTGGATGATCTTAAAGGTGTTTTCCAACCTGGCTGATTCTGTGATTCTATGGGGAAGGGAAACCTCTCCCCCATGTCACTGCAGCACTCAGTGTCACAGCAGCCTACCTGCCCGTCGGAGTCATAGCCCCAGCCCCGTGTGCCACTGGCCAGGGCGAGCGCCCGAGAGTCCGCCTCGCGCCGCACCCCACTCAGCACCAAGTGCCAGGCCCTAGAGCTCCGTGGGCGCCGCGCCATGCTGTTCCCAGACAGGTAAGCTGCAGGACAAGGGACAAGAGTTTACACATAGCACTTGTGGCCTGCTTTCAGTCACCAACCACTGAAGCAACCCCTCCCAGGTCCCCATAGAGTGCCAGGAACAGGTCGGCACAAACGCAGGTCTGCACAAGTCCCATCAGCAAACCAATGCAAAATAATTCCTCCTGCACCACAAACATTCCCACAGGGACAACTTCTCCCTGAGCCCATGTGTTGAACTGACCCCAGAAACACTTTCAAGACCCGGCAGCAGCGGCAGCTCCCTCTCCAGCATCCCACTACTGGCCTGCCTCCACCAGGATCATCAGCCACCGAGACCTGGCCTCCCCAGCGCCTGTCACCCTCATGGGCTCTGGGTGCTGCTTGGCCACCACCGTGTCCCCTGTGTGGCTGAGCTGCGTGTGCCTTGCTGTGGGGAAGGCCGTTTCTTCACCTCTGAGCCCATGGAAGGAAGAATTTGTTCTCAGTGGCTGGGGTGGGGGAGACAGCACTTGCTCTCTTGCTGAAGGAAAACCGGCCTTTACATGGGCCTGTCCTGACTTGCCTCAAGGACACCAGACAGAAGCAAAGCAGCTCTCTGTCTCCCCACTCCAGTGGGTGTTGTTCAGATTTCCATAGGCTCCTTCCCTGTGTACAGCCTGACAGACCACAGCAGCTCCCAGCCACCCCACAGGAGCACTGCACCAGAGGTGATGCAAATAACAGCTCCTCAGCAAGAGGCACCCACAGGGCTGCAACCCCCCTCCCACCCCTTGCACCCACTCCCTCTGCTCAGCCTCTGGGACTGCTGCCTTCCACAGAGAGCCACTCTCTGCATCCACACCGGCTCCGGTGCTGCCCTAACAGCATGTGAATCCTGCAAGTACGTGGTGGGCCAGCCCAGACGGGTGCCTGCCAAACGGCACCGTTCCCATTCATCCTGCACCTCATTCTCCGACGGGAAGGCAGCTCTTGGAAAAGCAGCACAGGCTGAGTCACGACAGGTCGTGCCGGTGCCCACAGATGCTCTGAAGGGCTCCGGACAGCCCCCTGCCCAGGATCAGGAGGATCCCACCACTGCCGAGCACAGCTCTGCCGGGAAAGCAACTAACACCGCGGCAGAGCCGCCCTGCTCGGCTCTTAACACTGCACTTCCGCCCCCCGCAGCAGCTCCGCTCCCCGGCACCTGCCTGAGGCCTCCGGCCGGCTCACCGGGCAGCGCTGGCCGACGGCGGCGGTTGTCCCGGGCCGTGCTCTGGCACCAAGGGCTGCTGGGGCCCTCCGCAGGCCGTGACCCGCTCAGCGCCCGCAGCCCCGGCCGCTCCTCCCCGAGCGGAGCACACCGCGGGGGTGGGCAGAACCGGCGGCAAAAGGGGCAGCCCGCGACTGTGGGACCGAGGGCCCTAGCTGGGCCGGACGAGGCCTGGCCACCGCGCTTGCCTCAGGCCACACCGCGCAGCCCAGCCCAGCCCAGCCCAGGCCTCGGTTCCCACCCGCGTCCCGGTCCCGGTCCCGGTCCCGGTCCCCCTGCCCGGCGCGGCACGTCCCGTCCCGTCCCGTGCCGTCCCGCCCCGTGTTACCCCAAGTCTGGCCTGGCCCCGCCGCCGCGCTCTGACCTACATTCCCCTCCCGGGACATAAACAATCCTCTCTTGATACCGCCCCTCAAGCGCCCATTGGCTGAGCCTGCGCCGTTACCCCTCGCGATTGGCTGAGAGCTCCGTCACTCACAGCTGAAGGAGCACGGAGGGTGCGGTATCAGAGGGCAGCTCAGCGCCATTGGCTGCACAGGGTGTCAATCCTCGGAGAGCCGCGCCATTGGGTGACCACTGCTGAGGGCTAGCGCTCGTCACAGAGCGAAGTCACTAAACCCATTGGCTGGCGGAGGGGGAGGACGGAAGGTTTGATTGGCTGCAGAGTCTTGAGAGGCGGGCTCTCTATGAGGCAGCGGCTTGTGATTGGGGTCGGTGCCAGCCAGTATGAGGGGCGGGGTTTAATCTGGTGAAAGGCGGAAGCGGGCGGCTCTGGGCAGCAACATGGAAGAGGCAGCCGGGGGTGAGGGGCGGTAGGGCCGCGGCATGCCGGAATGATCGGGTCGGGATTGGGGGGGGTACGTCCCACTCTAAGGTGGTCGGGCCCTGCCTCTGGTGCTGTTCCGGAGTCACTAGGCCGCGGTGATGGGCCTCGGCTCCTGGTGAGGGGAGCCCTGCGGTGCCTGGTCTGGGCCGCGGCCTCGAAGCGGTGGGGCCCGGTTACCAGGGCGGGAGAGGGATGTTGCTGGGCTTTGCCGGAGCCCTGGTCCAGGCTCCCGCTGGGAGCAGCGCCAAGGAGCCGGGGCCATCGGTATCAGCGGGTGGAATCCCGGGAGCACGTCGCTGCGGGGCTCCGTCTCCCCCCTGCCTCCCCTTCTTTCCCCGCTTCCCCGTTACCGTCGGTGGAGGTGCGGATGAGGTCCGCCATGGTGCGTGCAGGCTCCATGCCGCCGGTGCCGGTATGAGGCCGGGGCGGCGCGGGGCGGGTGAGACCTTGCCTCGGTGAGTCAGTGTCCGGCTGTGACGAGGTGCCCGGGAACGCGGACCCGGGTGGGCTGCCGGCCCGACCTGACCCGACCCAACCCGACCCGCTGACACCCGTGAGCCCCGGCCGGGGCAGCCGGCCCCGAGCGTTCCCCACCGGTGGGTCCGAGCGGCGCTGCCGGTGCAGCCTAGCTGGTTCTCCTCCGGTGCAGGGAGGCTAGAGAGGAGCCCGTGGCCGCGGGGAGGCGGCCTGGGCGGTCTGGTGGAAGGAAACGCCAAGGGCCTGACCTCACTGTGGCCCCGGGAGGGCTCGGCCCGGCGCTGGCGCAGCGTGACCTGTGAATGTTTATTGCTGCACTTCCCCAAAGCTGCTTAGGTCATGTGGCCAAAGCCTCTGCTCCTGCTCATATTGTCCCTTCCCCGATGGTGAAAGGCCCGTGGCACATCCACCTCTTTATTCCCTGCCCCTTATGCTTAAACCAGACTTGTTGGGAAAATGACAGCCACTGTCACCCTCAGTGGGGACCATGTCTCCGTGGTGACCCCGCGGTTACTCCTGTCTTGCATCAGAAGAAACTCTGATGCCTCCTTATTCTTCCTCCCAGAGAGAACCAACTTGGCCGGGGTGCGGCACATCCTGCTGGTGCTCTCCGGGAAGGGCGGCGTTGGGAAGAGCACCATCTCTACCCAGCTGGCTCTGGCACTGCGGCATTCCGGGAGGAGGGTGAGTGAGGGACTGTGGGGCACTGAGCTCCATCTGACCCTTCCCAACCTCCACCTGGGCTGCGTTAGCTCATCCTTTGTGTCTTATGTGGGCAGCATGTGAAAATGCTGTTTGTGACAGCAAATCAAATTAATCCTTTTCTCTGTGTTCACTCAATCCAGCACAGGTTCATTCCCATCTTGTCCAAGAGGCTAAAATCACCCCAGACTTGCTGTTTTTTGGTGCTGAGAAATGATTTTGCTGCTCTGTGGTGTAACACACACTCCCTTTGCAAAGTAAAGAGGGGGAGCCGAAGGACAGATTTAAGATGGGGACAAAAGGGGATTGTGTATGGCCATGAGGCAGGCAGAATTCCCTGAGGATTTCTTTTAAAGGCACTGTGCAGCAATTGGATCCTGATAGGTGTCTGGCATAAAGATCTCTCCAAAGCGCCTGGAAATACCTGGGAGATGTTCCTCTGAGGGAAGGGGGCAAGGAGGGTGGTCAGACTCGAAAGCAGCTCATCGTGTTTCAAATCCAGCTGCTGAGCTGCTGAAGTAAAGTGCTGTGAGCAACTGAAATCCAGATGCTGCCTTCCCTTGCCCTGGGAAGAAACATGGATGGGGGCAGCCACCAGGCTCATCCCAGGCTGAAGGGCTCTTCATCCTCTCCTGCTGCAGGTGGGGATCATGGACGTGGACTTGTGTGGCCCCAGCATACCCCTCATGTTCCAGGTGCAGGACAGTGATGTGCACCAGTGTGACAGCGGCTGGGTACCGGTCTATGTGGACCAGGACAAGAGCATCTCACTCATGTCCATTGGCTTCCTGCTGGAGAAGCCGGATGATGCTGTGGTGTGGAGAGGACCCAAGAAGAATGGTACAGTTGGGTTTTGCTAGGAAGTGTCCACCTTCCTGGAAGTCGGGCTGGATCCTGCTGGGGGCAGGTCATTCCTTGGAGGAACAAGGCTCCTGTTCTGCAGGAGTGGGTTCAGACTGCTTAGATGGGGAGAGTGCAGCATGTGTTGTGTGCCCTGCAATCTCTCCCTGGGCCCTTGTCACCAGGGGGGTCTCCCAGTCCCTGTTCTGCTGAGTCCACAGCTCCCACAGCACCCGCTAAGACCTGTTGAATTTCTTTTTTCTTTTCCTGCCCCTTTTATTTCCATAGCTTTGATCAAACAATTCGTTGCTGACGTGGCCTGGGGGGACCTGGACTTCCTCATTGTGGACACGCCACCGGGCACATCTGATGAGCACATCTCCGCAGTGGAGGCCCTGAGGCCTCACAAGTTGCTCGGAGCAATCCTGGTCACAACACCCCAGGTAGGGCAGCTGCCTTGGCCTGAACAGGAGCTCCTGGGCAGGCTTCTGCCTCCAGGCATGGTTGGAGGATGAAAATATGCACCCGAGGTGGGTGTTGGCACCAGCCTGTGTGTGGCTGCTTGTTCTACACATTTGCCTTGTGATGCATGCTTGCTCCAGACCCATGGTCAGCCTGGGCAGACAGGCACCCCTAACCCCTGCTGCTCTCCCCTGCAGGCTGTGTCTGTGGGAGATGTGAGACGGGAGCTGACATTCTGCAAGAAAACAGGATTAAGAGTTCTTGGCATCGTGGAGAACATGAGTGGCTTTGTGTGTCCGCACTGCTCGGTGAGTTTGTTGTGCCCTTGGGGCTATTGTGGGGCCTCAGTTGTGATGTGGTGTTGTAAGATGTAGTGCCTGGGTTGGAAAATGTGCAAATGCCGTGAGGGTGATGTAGGGAGATGAGCTGCTGCCTGTCAGCTTTGGAA